AGCTAACACTTCTTCAATCTTGATTATCTTATTTGTTAGTGCTAGGTCTAATGCCTTACAAGTTTCTGTGAAACTCTTGCGTAATATCGAACGATGAATCTTGAAATTATCCATATCTTACTGTCCTGTCACGGTCGCCAATAAATGTAAGGAGTTGATGGATAATTTGTCTTAAACCTTAATAAAAATGATTCACCAAATTGACTTCTGATAAATATTTTATTTTCTTATTAAGTCAATGTGACAATACCAAAAAACATATACCGGGTGAGAAACTATCTCTAACAATTTCCCTTATAACATCTAGAATTGATAAAATTGTATAAATTTACAGCCATGAACAGTTTGTAGACATTGTTCCACAGTCTCAAATGATTTTATAACATTCTGGAATATTTTATGCTGTTACGAGCCTACCTCCTTGCAATTGGCACACGATAGAATGAAAAAGCCAGAGGCGTGGAGCACCCACAAGATCAGTGCCAGAATTAAAGCAAATAGATAATCTAGAAATATGGGGTGGTTCCCTCCACAAGATTATCGAGAACTTGTAAACACAATGTTTCAAAGAATTATTGCCGTTATCAAAGTTAAAGGTGATGTAACACTGGTGAAATTTTGTAAATATTTAAAAAAAATAAAAATTGTGTATCTAAAATATTTTATCAAATTTATGTATGATTTCTTCTTGTAGTGTCGGTCACTAAAAATCTGAGAAGTGTGCTAATTGAAGCAGGACAGGGCTCATTAATTTAAAATCAGTACTTCTATAAAAACCTAGTAAATACATTTAAAGAACTGGAACAAAACACATTCGGGGATGATTATTATTAAACAAATGTATATTTAAACACTTAAAAATAAAAAGGCTACAAGTAAAATAAATTTATCATAGTATCTATTTGATTCTTTTATAACCAGATACAACTTTCTAGCATTATAATCAGGCTAAAAGGAATAAGTCACAAATGGAACTTTTGGGTTTAATGTTTATTTTCATACCACCAATAAATAATTTGCACCATATTCTGTATAACTGTTTTTTGGCATTATAAAACTGCTATTAATATGTTGAAGACTCTCTCCCATAATCACAATTAAAAACAGCACAACGATCCACCATGATTTATATATTTTAAGATTTTAAAAAATATTTATCTGTGAACACTTTTCAAATTGCAGCTTCTATCTTTTTCTATCTTTTATTTACTTTCTCGCCGGACACTAGCGAACCTAGCGGATTTTGGCTAGGAAGTACGATTGGTTTTATCGCCGTTTTCATTTGTTTTTAAATAGGAGTTGATGCACCTTATAGTCCACCGTGATCCATATGAAGGGTTTAATCACGTTTAGTACCAGTTTTAGCTATGCACCGTAATACAAATCATTATTAATCCGATTTTATTCTAATCCGTCAATATCGGAGGATCAAATTGTTAATCGAGATTTTCTTACGTCAAAAAGATGTCAACATTTTGTCAGTATATTTGGAACTTTCTATTTGCGTTTCTTTTATTTATTTTATTTGAATTTTAATAAAAAAACAGAAATAGAAAACCAGCTTTTCTTGGAAGATGACGAAGATTCTAGACAAAATTACGAGAGAAGTGAATATGTTTATACGATGGGCAACTTTGTCATTTTTGATAGATTTTTTACATTCTAACGTTACATCATAATTCTGTAGTTAGATTGCAAACAGATATGTTGAAAAAGGTAAAAATAAGTAAGCAATACATATAATATTTGTGATTTTGTCCACTTTTAAATACTGATATGTCATATCCATATAGTTTTGAACATGCATAGTGTAGGGAAAGTATTCATATAGGTATATAGTTTTGCATAGAAAAGCTTGAAATACAGCACTTTGTATGTATATATGTTAAAATTACCAAAAATCAACTTAATGGTTTTGCCATCCAACTATAGAATATTTTTTTTTTTAATTCATTTGACATTCTTTTTCACCCTGCATAAAATTCGGAATGCGTTTTACGTTTACGATTTTGGTACATTTAAAAAAATAGGGCTTCTGTCTTCAACGGCCTCTTATCCTTTGACATCACATACTTTGATTTTCTTTTACTATACGGAGAATGGTCGCACTGCGCAGCTTTCTGAGTGCCTTTTAAAAGGAGATAGAAAACTCCGCCATTTTGAACCCTTATTTCGTGTTGCCTACATCTTGGCGCAATATTTTTAATAGGTGCGTTTTAATCATCCGCTTCGGAATTGTCGTTTTTCTTGTTTTAATCTGACAGGTTAGAACGACTGAACCGACAATTCCGGAAGCAGGAGCGGATGATTAAAATGCACCTGATATTTTGCTTGCTGCTATCAGTGGCTGCGTTCATCCGCGCCACATGCTACCTGTTCGATCTGGTAGCGCTCTCGAGTGGCACGTATGAACGGTGGATTTTGACATTTCGCTCAAGGAGCGGCCGCCATTAAAAGTAGCGCATTTTATTTACGCTGATCGGTGATCACTGATCTGTCTTACGCACTTACGTCCACGGTTTGCTTGGTGACTAGTAGGGTTATATTAGCAATTGAAAAATAAACAAACCACAAATAAACAAACAAATCTTCAACCAGAGACATTCAACTCAAAAGTAAAATAAATAAACCACACAAATGTCACTTTTAAACATGGTTCATGCATAAAGATCGATCAGGTAGCGTAAGTGATCGCTACTTTTGTAGCGCTCCTTGAAATGGCGCGGATGAACGCAGCCATTGTCAGTGAATATTATTTTTGGAGTCACAGTTTATTGCTAAAGAATCAGTTAGCTCACTCGGACCAGTTGAAAGTTCCAAAATAACATCCACTCCAGGGATACAAATTCAGGATACGCAGAAGACTGCTGTTTTATTATAGGCGGTTGTCATATATTGTATTATCTGAGTTGCGCAGTGTATAAACTGGAACATTGAGATAAAAAGTGCCGACGCAGAGTGAGCGATCTGATTCTTTAGCTATAAACTGTGTCATAGGGTTCAAAATGGCCGCGCCTTATGTTGGGCGTGTCGGACCTCTCTCTTGCCCCGTATAGTAATCAAAGTATGTGTTTGACATACATTTCTCCTGCCCAAATCTGAAGTTTTCTTCTTCTGTTTCTTGTAAAATTTATAAAAATCCAGTGTTGTCAGATTACTAAATTAGATTATCTAATCCATAGCCGGTGCATAGAAAATAACCACTAGTCATTTAAACGAGATTTGCAAATCTGGATTAAATTTTAAAACGGTGCATATGGAGTCACGTGATTTCAAGGTTAACCAAGGGTATAACCAAATTGATTTCTGGTTCATCGCTTTAAAACGATTATTTATTTTTATGACATGTGTAATCGAACTATCAAACTGTCATTAATTTTTTTATTTTTAAAATGCCTAAGCATTTAAATAGCCGTGCGAAAGAATTAGTGGGGTCTCTAAGATATTTTGAAGAAGAACGAGATAATGGTGGCCCTTTATTACCAATAAATGCAATCAGTGAGCGTGTAGCAGCGACGTTGAATTTGAATATTTCGACGATAAGCTCAATTTCCCAGACATTAAAGAATAGCCATATTTTAAATTCTCCTCCAAAAAGGCGACCACATCCCAAACCTGTAACCGATTGTTTCAATTCTGGGCTGGTACTCTGTGTCATGTAGAATTCTACTTATCATTTTCTACAATAGATTCTTTTGAGTTACACAGGTGTAACAAAGCGGAAAACCAACGAGTACATACTTACTACAGGATAACTAGTTTCATAAGAAACCACATTGCGATATTTCCCGTGCGGTTGATAACGTATTCATCACGAAAGAAAGTAATCATTTCTATTGTAGAAAGCGATAAGTAGAATTCTACACGACACAGAGTTCCAGCCCTGACTACATTCGTGATATCATTTACGATATGTATAAGAAGAAACAACAAGTAACTCTTGCATAATTACATGAAACCAATATAGGATTTAAATGGAAGAAAGATGATACCCGGTGGGGTTTTGTGGAACTTCCTCATGTTGCCAGTAACAGATTTAGTTTTTTAAAGGTACACTCAAGTACAAAAATCTGTCTCTATATAAATTTGTTTATCTGGATGAAACATGGATTTTTCAAAATGGCACAGTAAACCGCTCTTGGCAAAATAACGATAAGGGAGCGTAACAACTGCAAGAGTTGATAGAAAAAGATTCATTGTTCTTCATGCTGGTAACAAAAACAAGCCCGACTATCATGGGGAAATGAATAATGCAATTTTTTTAAAAGGGTTCAAGAATCAATTATTTGTGAATTTAACTGAGCCTTCAACGATTGTTATGGACAATACTTCCTATCACAGCACGTTACTTTTTAAAACGTGCAATAAGTCCTGGACAAAACCTGAAATTCCGGATTGGCTGACGACACACAACATTCAATTTGATCAGAATATATATATAAACAAGATTTATTGAACACAGGTTTCAGAGATAAACCACCAATTGAAATGATATGGGGTATTGCCAAGAATTATAACCGGCATATTGGTAAGGATGGCAACTCAATTCAAAATTGTTTAAGTATGTGGAGGGAAACACATACTCCCAAATCTGATCTAATTGTATCAGTTATACTGAAAAAATTATTCAGAAATGTTGGGACCGTTAAGTTATATTTGAACGGGAGGATATTTTACCTGTAATTATTAATTTTAATGATGATAGCGATAGTGATTCTTATTCTGAATAAAATTTTACTTGTTTATTTTTATTTTATCTATTTATATTGGAAGAATACTTCCGGAAGCTTCTAAAATTGTATATATTGTTATAGGTTTAATGAATTATTTATTTAAAGTGTCAAAAGATGGAGTTTAAATTAAACATTAGTTTTTTATTAAATGTTTCTTGATATCCTCGAATTTTGTAGCAAAGTGGTAACTTCTACTTTCATGAGTTTATGACGTGCATTGTAAATTTCATTACAATGACTATATTACTAGAGATTCGTGATGCTCACCGTGTCCTACTTGATCCTGTCTTATAATATCTCTGCCAGGGGGAAAATAAACAAAATATGTACATTCTGCCAGTTTATTTTTCGTTTCATTAGGATATTTTCTAAAACACTTCATACCACTAATGGCTCTACGTAGCAATAGTTTATCTTCTTCAGTTCGTAGCTCTTTAGGTTTGGTGAGAATCGACTTTTGTTCCAAAGTCAAGGGACTCAGTGGTTTTTTCCTTTTAGTTAGGAGCTTGATATTCCTCCGAACATTATCAGCTAGAAGAAAAATTGTTTAGTGGTACTTTAAAAAAAATCTGATGTGTCCTGTCTGGTACAGGCTTTTTCCGGTTAATTTGTATAATCTATTGTATCACCCCTGTAAATATTCATTGCCAACGAAAATACTGAAAAATGAAAATTTTATACTTTTCCTCAAGTTTTTCCATTACGGTCCATTTTAGAGAAATCATATATAGAGTAAAAATTATAGAGAATAAAGTACCCTCCAAATGTCCGATTACGCCCAAAATTTAATCAGTTTACCGCAGGATGGATTAAAGCTTGCATTTAATATTTGGTTTTTCTCTTAAGGAGCGTTCAAGTATTACGTAACGCAATTTTTGGAGATTTTTAACCCCCCCTCCCCCCATGTAACGCGCCGTAACGTTTTTGTGAAGGTAAAAAAAGGTCAAATGGTGACTTGAAATTTTGAGAAAAAAAAAACGTTTTAAAAAATGCGTGAGAGAAACTCTCTACGTGACTTTTCTGAAGGGTTCAAAAATAATAATATTGCGTAACACGTAGTTCAAACGCTCCTGTAACTCATCGTAACGTTTTACAAAAACCCGCCCTCCCCCCCAAATTCGTTACGTAATACTTGAACGCTCCCTTATTCCGTTTGTGAGTTATATTCTAAATTCGAAATATGCACTTTTTCTCAGATATCTCGAATACGGTCCATTTTAGAGAAATTATGTATAGTAGAAGAATTATAGAAAACGACATCACAAACATCTTTTATTTGAACAATTTTCTTAAACATTTTTGAATTTTTTTATTTTTTGTCAATAATCTTGAATACGGACGACCATTTTACTGTAAAGTGACACGGTATATTGTACACAGAAAAAACTTATCATCTACATTCAAGAAAAGCTTTACACTTGGAAGATTACATTTGTTTAAAATAAAGCAGAGTTTGCTTCAAATAATATTTCTCGATACAATAAGAAAATAAATGTTCGAGTGAAGTATAGGCATAATCTTGTATTTTAAGAGTTATAATAATTAATCTGAGAATAAATTATTTCATTCGAGTATAGAATTGTGAATTAATCCAAGAAAGTAATTAAGTTTATTATAAGTATGATATGCTCTTAAAACCGACTATTGCGTAACTTGATTCAATATTATAAAAGGATTCGATTCAAAGCATTTAAATTTCAGAACAAGACTTAAACAATTCGAATCAAAAACCTATGTACTTCACAAAAGATTAGCGACTAAAACGTACTGCACGGTGTTACCAGCTGAAACTTATTTTAAAATGCAACCTCTGCACTGATACGGTAGATATATGACATGACTGGCACATGTTGAGATGTGATACTGATTATTCGGAAGTCAGAGACACTACGCATTTATAGAGAATCTAGCAAATTGGCATTAGCACGTGTTCATCCTATTGTCAATAGTCTACATGTTTGCATCGTATCGTTAAGCCGGCTACTCACTACGCGTCAGTGTTGCCAACCTTGAAGTATACTTTTTCCCTCTTCTTACCTTAAAAATTCCCACTTTAATAAAAAAATTCCCTCCCGTTAATAAAATCGGTTTTATATCAGAAATACAAGCATCTACATATTTTCCAAAATATATTTATTAAAAGAAAAACGAAGGTACATAACAAAGTATAATCTAAAAAACATAACTTTAAAAAAATATTAAAGAATTAACAATTTTAATTTTATTTATTTTTAAAATCATACATTTTTCACAATTTGGACTGAAGTAAAAAATTCCCGTTTTGAGTTAAATTTTTCCCTTTTGAATTGAAAATTCCCGCAAAACGGGAAATTTCCCTCCGGTTGGCAACACTGCACGCGTTACTTGCCGAGTTACTTGACTTGGACTGAACTTGGCAAGTACTTGTTCGAGTACAAGTAAATCGTCTACATTACGCGCGCCTTCTAAAGTAGTAGTAGTAACTTTACTCGGATCCTTTGACTTCGGTCCGTTTACCGACAACCGACGGGAAGTACAAGTAACTTGCTGAGTCTATACAAGTCTCCATACACATTACATGGGACTTGCAAAGTACTTGGCAAGTAACGCGTAGTGAGTAGCTGGCTTTAGGGTCGCGTTTTACTTTTTGTTAGAAATTCTTTGTGATTTAATTAATAAGTGTATAAATAAATTAAATTGAAATAGAACATTAATTAAATGAATGGGGCCTCAGCGACCTGATACCAATATTTAAATGTAAGTATATTTAGTTCACTTCTTGTTAGGTATTATTATCATGAGAAACGAAAACTGGAATAGAAGTAAAAAAAATGTATGATGCTGGATGACGACTTTTGGAAAGATAACTTCTGCCTTGCTAAGACAAGAGGTCGTATCTACGAAAATTCCGATTTAAGGATTTATATATATATATATATATATATATATATATATATATATATATATATATATATATATATATATAACTACTTTAAATGCATTGTGGCACCTGTTAAGTCTAATGTAGTTGTGGCACCAGTGTTATAATTAACGTCATTAAGGCACCATCTAATTGAAGTAGGTTGTGGCACCAGTATATATATTTCAAGTGGTATTATGGCACCATGCGCTGTTGTCAAGTTTACGTGGTGCTTAAACGTGGCTGAGTATATAATAACTTATACAGTAATTAATACGTTAAGAAGTCAGTAATTATTTGAGCACAGACGTATAAATTCATTTTAGCTAAATAAACAATTTTGATAAATAATCCCGAGGCAGATATATTTTTGATTTTAATTTGCTGTTTTATACACGTAACAATTATACAGGGTGCGCCATCTTCGACTGAAGATGTCATCGGTATTTTTACTTTCTTATACTAACATGTACGGTGTGTTCCATAAAGTTGGATCCATATGGGAATTTGTTTAATATTATGACCGGAAAAATACGTTGTAGGGCAATCGCCTCTGCCTATTTAAAAACTTAAAATTGTCTATATCAAAGTTGGCTACTGATATTAGTTTTTGTCAAGTTCGCATTAAATAAATTGTTTTTATGAACAATTTGTTCAAAAAACACTGCTAACTTTAATATGGGCTATATTAAGTTTTTAAAAAAGCAGAGTTGAATGTCTTATGACGTTTTTTCTAATCGTAATGTTAAGAAAATACCCTATGGATCAAACTTTATGGAACATACTGTATATGGGATGTATACCAGCAGTAATAATATAAGACAGTATTATAATCCAGAGAATTTTACACTTTGACATTTTAACTAGTAAATTAGGTTAATAAGAAAATAAATTTTATTATTGTGTTCATACATTGTTTTTATAACAAAGCATCAAGTTACAAATGACGGAAGAAACGAATGTTATACAAATGTGTACTCGTTTACAATTAATGTCTTTATTTGGACGTAATCATTGTTGGTAAATTCATCATGTTTTGAAATATAATCCATGATTTTTAATTTTCAGTTGATTTTTAAAAACAAAATAATGTTTACTGTAGATTTCAGGAATGAAATATTTTTATAATATGATCCCACGCCTTTCCCAATGAAATATAGCATAAACTATTTCAGTAGCCCTATTTGAAATGAGTGTATTCATGTAAAAAACCTCGAGTAAATCTATAATTTTTGCATATTATTTGTTTTTAAAACTCAACAAGTAAAAAAAATGTAAATATACAGGGTGTTCAATCAGTGCGTAATTGTTCAATATTTCAATTTGTGTTATAGACAAGCAAAACAGTTTTATGGATTTAAAAAGTACATATTTTAAAAATATTGTTGGATATACAGGATATTGCATTTTTGCCTGGCAAATAAAAATTTATGTTTTTTAAGTAGAACAACTTGTATTTTATTTTATTTTATTTTTAGAATGGTTTATTAATACTGTATTCAACTCTAGAATGTTTTTAAACCATATTAGTGTTGCCAAGCAATTTTTTTTTTTAATAGAGAAAGATGCAGACCACAAATTAAATAATCATAACTTAGGTAGGTTTACCTTAATTTTAAAATTGTTAAATATACAGACTTATAAGATACTAAGCTAACGAATAGTGGTGATAGAACTGGTTGATTTTAGACAGAGTGTTTTAAAACATGTCTTAAATTTGGCTAGTTTTAAGTTAAATTTACTTTATTTTTTCAAATGCAACATCCTGTATATTATTTTAGTATAAAATTCTTTATACATATACCTATCCAAAGATTTTAAAATATTAGACAATAACACATATACAGGGTGTCCCACGAGAGCGTAATTGATGGATAGCCGTTGTATTATTGAAAATACGAAAAAAAAATATAAAAGTTGTGACCATATTTATTAAATATTACCTAATATACAGGGTATTCCATAATCGAGAGGTTGACCAAACATACATTTTTAAAGGAAAACACCCTACAGGTAGTTATAGATATTTGATTGTTTTCACATCGTCAAACCATTTTGATACACTTCATTTATTTGCTATTTTGTATATAGGGTGTGACAAAATGCGAGGTAACGGTTTTCTCAATTTTTTAAATAAAATACCATATATCTTATACTACCAATTAATTAATAAAGGGTAATCCATTTAAAAAATCATAACCTCACGTTTTTAAACACCCTATATACAACATAGCAAATGAGGGAAATCATTTAAAATTGTTTGACGATGAACAATCAAATATGGTTAACTACCTGTAGGGTGTTAAGCTTTAAAAAAATATAGATTCGGTCAGCACCTCGTTTATGAATTACCCTGTATATTTAAGAACAATTGTTAAATATAGTCATACAACATTTATATTAAATTTTTTTTTCGTATTTCCAATAATAAAACTGTCCATCAATTACGCCCTGATATAATTTATTGGCTAATATGTTGGTATCGTTGGATAGTTAAATGTATAACAAATTTTATGCTTAAATATTATACAAGGTGTTGCATTTGAAAAATTAAGTAAATTGAACTTAAAATTAGCCATATTTAAGACATGTTCCAAAACACTTTGTAGAAAATAAACCAGTTCTATCACCG